AAAGAAAATCTATAGTGAAAAATTCCTATTGCTGTTTGCTACTCTTGTACTCCTGCTGTTAAATGAAAGGAGAAAACTAAAAGCTGTCCATTGGTAAAAAATGGAGACAAACAAATTTGTCAGTCAGGATGAAAAAGTTTTATGGGGGGGGGCCTTTCATTTTGACTAACTTCAGAATATTTTTCTTTAAAAAATGTAGAAAAAAAATACTTACAAAGTTTTATTTTCTCGTGTGTGCATTTTTTGTTGTTGCTGCTGCTTTAATGCAATAGTATTTTGCAGAGTCATACTCTGGACCACCTGCTTTTACATGAAAAAATGTTTTTGGTATTAAAGAAAAACCCATTATATATGTAAGCATATTTCTCACAAGACAAGTTAATAAAATCTTGTCAGAGCCGGTTTTTGTCATAAAACATGCGAGCAGCCATATTTAATTAAAATAGCAAGGTAAAGAACAACTCACACACACTTGCCATTTTAAATGAAGTCATAATCAGCTCAGGTACAGGAGTCATAAAAACATGTTTGCATTTCTGTCTTGAATGAGAAAAGTTTTTATCAAACTGCCTTAAGCAAACCTGATAATGTCATCAGAAGTTTAAAAAACGTTTCCAAGGAAAGAAACAGAAAAGGTCTTGAGCTCTCAGGCTGCCCAGCCAAATGCTTTTTTTGGCACATTATGTGGTCTCCTTTTGTGGGATTAAGGTTCATTAAAAATGTAATGGTGCTCTTCTCACCTTGGAAACCAAACATATGGCTTGTGTCTCGATGCTCCAGCCAATTACAATACAGTAGACTTATAGCGTGGCATCCAACCAGCTAATACCATTGTTTGTCTTGGGACCCAGGCTCATTAAAAACACATTGGCAATGATCCATATCATGAGACCAAAACTGACTAAAACAACATTTACTTCTCTAGAAGTCCAGCATCATTAGGATAAATACTAATGTCATGAGCAGAAATGCCATGATTATGTCAGCCACTCTGTTTCTGAGACCTGTGATTGGGTTTACAGCTGTGAGTAAATAAGCCAGTTGCGCAGTATGTGCTCTATTGGGAGACTAGTTGTCAGAATTCTTTGGTTTCAAACACATGTACAATTTCCCCAAACACTTTTGATGCAAAAATGAGCCGCTTCTATCCCACCGAAGAAAAGTTGCAGATGTTCACCTTTGGCTACAGCCCCCTCAGCTAAATGCCAAGCAGATAAATCTCAAAACCCAAAGGGTGGAATGGAAAATTAATATTCTGATAAATTGAGCAGAAAGTCAAGAGTGCATAATGCTGATCTATCCCATCAGTGATGATTTAATTTAGGTTTTAAGCTGCTCCGGTTTGCCCTTAGTTCAAGGGAAAAGGAACGTGGCAGGTTTTTCAACCTTAAAATATTCGCTCCTATTTTCTTCCTATTACTCATTCCCACTGGCGGGAAAATGACATATACCTTATAGCAGAGAGGAGAAACACCAGAGGTGCATCTCAATAAATTAGAATATAATCAAAAACTAAATTTATTTCTGTAACTCAATGCAAAAAGATCTTATATAGACACTCTGGATACATTGGAGTTTTGAGCTGAAAACACAAAATAAAGTTTCATATGAAACCAATGAAAAGGGAGAGTAATGTTATAACCTAGTTTCTACCCACTGACCTACACAATCATCAGGAAGACTGCTGACTCGGCAGGTGTTCAGCAGACAGGTGGGTCACAAAAGGTAGTTAGATAGAAGCTGGATGCTTACAGAGTGCCGTGTCCAAGTATATTATTAGAAAGTTAAGTGGATGGAAAAAAAATCGCAGTCGAAAAAGGTGCATAACAAATACCGAACTAAACTGTACAAGTTTCACTTTTAATTGAATTTTTGAACTAAATTCACTTGTAATTGCTGTGTCCTTCATTATGACTTCACTTTTTATTTTATTTTCAGAATTGAGGTAAACATGTAAACAAAGCAAACTTGCAACTAAACCTGTCACAATAACAGATTTAGCAGGAGGATAAATAATCCCAGAAGTTACTGTGATAAATGATTGAATCTTTTGTTCCTGAGACCATTTTCAAGTAATGTAGTAACGGCATAACAAAGCAAAAACACATTCTGAAAGATCAATAAACTTTAAAATCAAATAAATATTTAACTACGAGGCTGGAAGACATTTAATTTTTAAAATAAATAAACAAAAGTAAATATGAAGTCTGTCTAAACTAAACAAACTTAATTCAAATGAAACCAAAGCTCCAGACTAAGACTTTAATTATCCGGTTTTTGGTAGAAAGAGAGAGAAAAACAAAACTAGATCATCCAAATGATATCGTTTAATTTATTATGCGATTAATTGATTTATTGTTGATTGTGGCAGGCTTACTTGCACCAACGTAGATATTTTAGTAAATTAAAATTTTCTGCTGCATTTACGTCTCCTGACCTAGCGCAAGATTGTCAGCAGATGTCAAAGTTTGAGTGTTTTTGTCATTTGAGTCTAAGAAGTCCAACGTAGAAGCAGAGTAATATTTTTACACTGAAGAAGTATCACTTCAAAACCAATCCAATGCGAACTTCTTTCTGACGTTAAACCTGATGTGCAGTCAGCAGATGTTAAACTTGATGACTTTCACTTTCACAACATCACAAACTCCAAACTTTTTCTTTTTATGGGTCGCAGCAGGACAGTGATAACAAATGGCTACGTTTCCGTCCCTCCAGACCGCCACAACCGGGTAACAAGACGGGCCTGTAGCATTTCGGCCAGGTTTGTGATACTGCCCTTGGGCACCGTGCTGTAATACATTAGGAAGTTTTACAGTCTTATCCATCACTAACAACCATAAGGGATGGGTCTGTTCAGTCGTACATTCGTTATTTTGTTCCAAAAACGCAGCCAGAGCCATAAAGAGCCATCTACAGAGACGAGAAGGAGTCCTGCACCAGATGGTGTGGCCCCTGCAGAGTGGTGATCTAAACTTCATCAGGTTTGTGAGGGGATACATGAAAAATAGGATCAACTCGAACACACAGTTAATGGAGGAGGAAACACTTTGCCCAAACCTGCTTCGTAGAAGTTTGCAACGGCACCATTTGTATTACATTTAAAACTAAAAAAGTAGATTGCAATCGGCCCATTAAACCAAAAAGACAATAAAAATATTCCCTCAAACTTTGGCCAAAGTGAAGAAACTATACAAGGCCTGTCATCATGATTAGCCCTATTATGCCACTGCGTCTGCGAGAGACATGTCTTTCTGCTGGCTGTCACTCTGTTGCTCTCATCTCTTTTGACTGTTTCACTGATGTTCCCTCACTGCTGCCTCGGCAAACGGAGCAGCAGCCCTGAAAAGTTTGTACGGTCTGACACCTTTTACTGGTTTTATCTCGTCAGGAGTCAGGCTGATGTATGGGAGCACAAAAAAAATAAATAAATAAATAAAAATGCCTGTAGTAAAACTCAGTGAGTAACAGCTTTTATGCTGCAGCCATATGTGAATTTAATTTGCAGATCTTAATTGATTGGAGAAAAAAACTGCATTGGTTTTGCTGAATAGTTTTGCATAAAATGTTTTGAAAAAGACACTTCACTCGCCTTTAGATAATGGCAACTAAAGGCGAGTGAACAGTGGAGTATTTACCCTTTATTTTAAACCCTAGTCAGATCAAAACTTTTTTCTGAGGGAGACCTGGCCAAGACAGACAACTTAAAGTAGATTAATAAAAAAAAAAAAAATAGTGATTTCATTAAAATAATTTAAATAAATGCACATTCAAGACAACAAATATTTATTAAATTTCAAATAAATCTACAAGTTCTGAAGCCTCAACTAGAGATGACAAAGTCCAGAGCTGCTATTAGATACATCCCTTCCTCTACATAACATGGATCAAATGAATGGCTCATTAGCAGGCCTCCGAGGCACTGAATGACTGCTGATGAACAAATTCACACATCCTACTTTAATAAAGACACTTCACCAAAAAACTTTTGATAAATGAAACGCATAACTTGTCTGATTGAAAGTTATAGCTCCTGATGACTTTATGAATGGGAGACAACATAAATAAGAGCAGGCACCTAACATGGCCTCATGGGAATAAATGTGCAGATGTTAAAACCTATCACTGCTCAAGGAAGACGGGCCAGGATTCTCATACACGATGCAATTATGAGTATAAAACTGAAATTATGTAAAAAAAAAAAATCTTGAATCTGCACAATACAGAGCTAAACATTTTTAGAGAAGAAAAACTGGAACATTTGTTTGTAAAGCAGAAGATCAATTTAAAAACGAATAATTTTTGCACGGTACTAAATGTGACATTTAAAAAAATTAAACATTTTTCTTCTTAGAAGAATCCAGGATATTTCCAAGCTGACTACAAACAGCTCATCATTTTGTGTAAGCCATTTACAATCTTGTGTATTCTTTGATTTCCCGAAGAATGTGATTTTGGTTTCATCTCATTTGAAAAGAGTTATGGTTTTTCTGATCGATGTAAACGGCAAACAGCAGATGTTCCATCTATGGTGCTTGCCAGTGGCACATAAAACTGCATCCGAACACTAATTAAAGTGAGTCTTTCCTCTGGCTCAGCAAAAAAGTTCATGAAATGATAAAAACTTCTTTTTTTTTTTTTTTTGGCTGTGTTGTCACAGAGCGTCACATGTGTGGTAAAACCAAAAACTTGAACTAATTTGTTGCAATTAAGAACAATCTGGAACCCATTTGGTGTGACAGACCACTGATATTACCAAAAACTGCTGAATGTTCCCTTTGTGAAAGTATCAATAAGGTAATGATTTTAATTTCAAAAGGCAAATGAAAACTTGTAAACAGAAAAAACAGGAAAGTACTGAAGTAGATATATCATACATCAATGCTATGCAGGACTTGCTACAGGTAAGAACAGTCAGACAGAATTGATTCGAGGAATAAAAAGACAAGACAATGAGACGAATGGGACAGGGAGGAGGACTTGGAAAGAAAGACGCTCTTTACCTTCTGTGTCTTGGCCGAGGCAGGCTGATAGCAGCAGGAGATGAAGAACTCCAGTTCTCATTACATTCATCCATCTGACCCGGCCTCGTGACGGCGGCCCCATTAATCGCGTTCCGACCATCCTCACCACCATGCTTCAACAAGCATCCAGCTGCGAAGGAAGGGGAGGAGACAGGACGACGTTAATGCGGGTTGGCTCCAATCATTAGCCACATCTCCAGCTGTGGGGGTGAAAAAGAACGTCCGGTGACCTGTGGCTTTCTTGCTCAAAAATGAAAGGAAAGGCATTTCAAACTTTGAGTTGTTTGGGTTGTTTCCATTTCAGTGGGTGTCAGAGGGAAGAAGGGTAGGTCCCGATCAGGGTGGGTTCAGATTAAGCTAATGGGAATCATCCTTTGTCTTCCACAGAAACTACTTGCACACATCCATATCTACCAAAGGGAAAAAAAAAAAAAAAAAAGATTTGATGTATCTTAACTGTATGCACTCTTTTCCCTACAGACATAGGCTTTAAAGAAAAGATTTCCTTTAAAGGTTTTCACATTGACACTTCCCTGTGTTGCATCCCTAAGATAAAGATCTAAAAAAAATCTAAAGCCTAGATACCATTTAATATTTATTTTGAAGAACGAAAAGCACACTACAATCGAAAATCTTTAATTGGTCTTTGTGTTAATGCATGATAGTAAAATTGCAGATTTTTTTTTTTGGATGGCAAGCATTAAAGACAAGGAGACAGAGAAAGAGAAATGATGGTGAGGAAGGCAATTTAGTGCTGGGTAAAATGCCAGAGGTGTTGGATACATTTCAAATCTCGCTGTGGAAAATCTGCCACATGGAGAAGCAAGCATGAAAAAATACATTGGCCTGACATATGCTTATGTATTTATGCAAGTGCAGCTTTTTTCTTTTTTTTGCTGTTGTTCAAGCAGTTTAGGATTAGAATAATTATGCATTCTAGAAAGAGCAAGAAAAATGAGAAAAAAGTCCAGAAACGTTCAACGTTTATGTTCTGAATGTACTGTAATGAGTTCCCCCACAGATTCACAACCGGTTGGTTTCAACTCAGTCAAGCATCTTGACTGACTGTTTATTCATTTTCTTTGAGTGCAACAGAAAGCATCACTGGGTTCTCAGCACAGTCCAGATGGTTTACTTTCATTTTGAGTGTTTGTGTTACACTTTTTTTCCCCCCCTATTCATTTACTCAAACAAAAAAAAAACTGAAATTATTATTTTTTTCTTCATGTAAATACTTGCATTATCACCTTATTGCACGTCGAGCAGACACTGACAAGAGGACCAATGACAAAAAAAATCTGCAACTAAAAACTTTTTAGTTTACACAAAGGATTTGCATGAGTAACACCTTTACCCAAAAACATGCTAAACAATGTCCTTCCAGAAAGAGCCATTAAGCTCTTCCCTTTGAGGAACAAAAAGAGTTACCGGTTTAATTAGAGCTGATTCATGAAGCTCCCATGGCAGACATTACTGTGGCAGAGTCAGATTACTGTTGCCCCGATTCTCTCAATGGAGATTGAGTTGGTTGACAATGAAAATGTAATTGGGATATTCTGCGAAGCCCCAGAGGTGAAATCTAGCTGACTTAAACCGCTAACTTTGTTCGAGGATGACACTTCAGACACATAATGTGGGCATGCTCTCAGTTCTGCCGTTTTCATCTATCCATTTGGGAGTGTAAGCGGATGTGCTGGATAAAGTGCCAGAGAACGTCTGTGGAGGGAACGGATGACATCTGACATTGTGAAGATATTCAGTCTTGAACAGAAATCCCAACGGCCCCCCTCTCCCCCCACAACCCTCATGGTTAGGTGTTTTTATGGATCCCAATATGTGAGATGTTTATGCATCCCTAATGTAATGTCAGACCTGCATAGGAGTTTTATAAATAACTCGGTTATTTTCAAAAGCCTGAGCCACAGGGCAATTGAAGAAGACATGACACACGAGACTCTGTTTGCATCCCTTCCATTTGCGATGCTTTCAGAAGATGTAAAATCATATCAGATGTACAAAAAAAAAATTCTGCAATCTGTCAAACGAGAAAAACAATGGCAAGAATGCATTTGAACAAAACATTTCATCTGCATTGCTGTCATATTTTATTTCTCTTAGTTAACTGTGACAAAAGATAAAAAACCCAGCTAGATAGTTCCAGTCATTGTGCACAATCTAATCTTTGAATGTCTTTTGGCTTCATAAATATGAGAAGTGATTCACTTCTGGGCTGCATAGGGAGGTAGCGGTTAGAACCAGTTCAATGTCAAAATGTCCCCTTCATGTTTGATAAGTTTTCAAATTTTATTTGTCCATTTTACAATATTTCAATCCATTTTTTCCCCCCAACTATCTACTCAACAAGATGCCACAAAATTTATCCACATGTGGTGCGTTCTTTAATGATCATGCAGTCTTATTGTCAGTCAGCTCAATAAAAGTCTGAGAGAAATCACAATATGCAATTACCTCAGAGAGTGAAGGTCAGTGTGGAGTTTGCTGCTTGTTTTCTCTGAGTTTTTTTTTTATGGCTGCTTCGGATTTCTTTCAGTTCATTGTCCTATGTTGTCTCTTACAACAATAAAAAGCACTGAAGTTTAATCATTCCATCTGGATTAGCATGAAGTTCCCTCACCGATTAAACTGTTATGTCCTATAAGAAAGAAAGATGAACTCCACGACCTGAACAGATCTCAACAGGTTCAGAAAATCATTTCAATCTGCACCACGATTAAGTGATAATGTAATGATCCTGCACTGCTAGGACTTTCTAAAGATGAATATCAGACATTTGTTTGAGGTAGAAAAAAAATCACAGTTTTTACCTTCTTTGGCCAATATTAATCAATTGTAAGATAAGAAGAAAAGCAGTGTAAGCTGTGCTGATTTATTATCTCTTTTTCCCCTGATGTTTGGATTGGCCTCACTCCTTCTCACTGAAGAGCTCGTCTTTTATCAGCTAATTCATATCAAACAGAACAACCAAAACAGTTTCATATGATGAACTACATTTCCCTAAATAGGATTCCTAAATGATTTCAGTGTTATATTTTGGAGAATGCTCCCCATTTGTTACAATGATAATAAATATAGTTGAAAAAATGTCTTACTGCAGCAGGTTTGGTTGTTTTGTGGTAATATTACATGTAATGGTCCTTATTACAGCCTGACAATGTGTTTCCATGAATGATGCCATAACTTCAAATGGAAAAAGGATGTTCTATGTACTAAGTTCAACTCAAGTATGAAGTAAGAGAAATAAACATTGTCTCATTACAGGCAGGCCACCCAGCTCAGGTTTCTTGAAACTTGATCTCTGATCCGGATCAGGACTGAACAGCACGCCAATCTGGACCGGTGGGGAAAATGCAAATCTGGCTCTAAAAATGTGAAATATTACATAATTGTGTCATTTTTGTGTTTGATATAGCTATCCAAAGTGTACCGTCGCACCTCAGTTGATTTCCGTTACTGGATTTTGCTGAAGGTGAAGTTCAGTTCATTTGTTTATTATTGTATGAGAAGTAAGTTTATCCATAACAACAGGAGAGAAGAGTAATAAAAGGATAATCATCTCACAATTAGTCAAAAGTTAGTTATGTCACCATAACAAAAACAAGACAAAAACACTGACATGCATATTTGTTCACTGTGACATTATTATCCATCACTGACAGCAATGATGTCACTCATACTTCAGCTTTTTCCAGTTTTATATGCGTAATAAAAAGGTATAAATATATATGCAGTATTTGGGTTTATTCTAAAGAAACTCTTATGATATTTTGCTGAGTCTAATATGATTCTTGTTCACATCAATACTCAACATTTAGTATAAAAACTTGGGAATGATTATCTTTACTGAAAAAAAAAAAAAAACACACACACACAAACACACACACACAGGTGCCTCTCAGACCTCATAAACTTGAACTTCTTCCAAGTAAGATTTATACACAAACAGAGGCAGACAAATCTGATTACTAGTATATCTGAAGCACGAAGCTGAAAATTAATGAACAAGAAATTGAGCTCTCAGTGGAGGTCTGTTTGATATTTCAAAGATATAAAACACATTTGCGTTCACCATCTTGTCAAAGATATTCATGCACAAGATAATGGCCATGCACTTGCATCCAAGTCTTACATCACCAAGTGCAATGGAAACATTTGGCTGTGGGGGGAGAGAGCATTAAACACGTTTTCTCCAGAGTTACTGAATCGTGCCTCTTTGTCTGGTAAACTGGATGAGCTGCTTGGAAATTATACTTGCTTGACTGATTTGGGTCTGAATTAAAGTTAGTACAGAAGAGCTTATCGGTTTTAGTAGCTTTGCTAAGATTCTTTATTTCAGTGAAGGTCTGGATGTTCCCTCTCCATCTTGTGTATGTAGCACAAAACATAGATTTTATAACTTAGAGTGTCTCGTGTACAGAAGCTAGCACCGATGACACTTGTGCTTGTTAAAGTTTGTTGCTTGTCTTACTTCCATACAGAGCACAACATTTAGATGACGCCACAAAAACACTTTTCCACCAACCGCCAAATGTCTAGCTTAGCTGCACCAAGTCACAAAAAAAGAAGAAAGGAGTAAAGAAAAAAAAAGTCAAATTTATTTTTATAGAACATTTCTGAAACCAGGCAGTTCAAGTTTTGCTCTTGGCGCTGCATCATGAAGAACTGAAAGAAAAAGACAAAAACCTCTGCAGAAGATGCTGAGTGCAACTTCCTTCACAAAATGTAAACAAAGATGGAGTGGCATCAGATTTTAGCAGTTGTAGGATTGCTCTTGGCAAAAGATCACAAGCCATTTTCCTCCCTGCAGTGCAGGACTTATGCATTTGTTTTGGTTGCATTTACCCAGAATGCCCTGATCTACACTCTGCTGCCTGCTTTTGGAGCGGTCTCTGTTCCTCTTGGCGTTCACATATACATTCGACCCGCGACAGAGTTCACTTTAACCAAACCAAGATGGAGGTTTTTATGCAGACCAGAGTTCACTTTTTGGTTCAGTTAGACAATCACACATCCCCAAACAAACTAGAGTTCGATTGAAGCGACTAAACAGGGCCGGTATTAATGCATCATTAGACGGCTGCATACATCCAAATAAAAATAAATGAATCACTT